CGTGTGTGTGTGTGTGTGTGTGTGTGTGTGTGTGTGTCTACGGGTGTGTTTGTCTGTGTGTTGGGCAGGCTATCTGTCTGTCTGAGTTAATGACCCGCCTCCTTTATCGCAGGGACAAAACCCCCCCCAAAAACAACAACAAACAACAACACCTCTCCACCCTCCCACAATCCATAGGACACCCCATCTGTCCTTCTTTTCTGTCCTTCTTCACAGTAATCATTCACCCAGACACCGGTCCTATCGGAGACGCACGTTAAACTGGGAGGTCACGCCCCTTAAATAACCTAATAGTGTTGATAAGGGCGTTAAACCCGTACCATTTCACCATTTTTTTTTCACCCAGACACTAACCCCGCCGACATGACCCATCCAATGTGGATCATTATCATCATCAATACCTTCCACCCCTGGCAGGGCACAGGTCACATACACGCTCTTTCCATTTATCTCTGTCCTGGGCCATCCTTCCAAGCTCGTCCGTTAAGAGAGATTATAGTAGATCATCATTGCCTTTCTCACCCTGCACCAGGGTATAGGCCTCAGACAAACACCTTCCACCTTTCTCTATCCTGGGCTAGCCTCTTGATGATATTCCATGTCTTCCCACTTTTCTGTACATCGATTTCTGTGATTTTTCTCCAGGTTCCACGAGGCCTTCCATGATCTCTTGCCTTTCGGTTTTGTCAGCTGTCCTTCATTGTTCCTGCTGATGCAGAAGCTCCCCCGTCCCCCAAGATCGAAAAATATCAAGCTGTGTTTGTCCGTGTTTCTGTAACTGACTGTTTTTTTACTGGGTTGGGTAGTTGGCCCTCAGCAAACTGGCACTTTTCGGGCGACCAGACCTTTGCACTTTTAGTCGCCTCTTACGACACGCAGTATCACGGCAGGTGTATTCTTTGCTCCCCCATAGTAAAACTACGGGGCCCCCCACCAGCAGGCGAGATTATAGTAGATACCAAGAGTCTAATTTCTCTCGCAAACCCACTTATATTAACTTATACGTATACTATTGTTCTTTCAGGTGGCTCGGCGCTGGGGCATGCAGAAGAACCGACCGGCGATGAACTACGACAAACTGAGCCGGTCCCTCCGTTACTACTACGAGAAAGGCATCATGCAGAAAGTGGCGGGAGAAAGATACGTCTACAAGTTCGTCTGTGACCCGGAAGCACTCTTCACCATGGCCTTCCCCGACAACCATCGACCACTGCTTAAGACGGACAGCGGCGCCTCCAAAGACGATCTCTTCAAGACCAGCCCACAGACCTCTGCTGTCGTGCCGCCGGAAACGCAACCCCTTGCGCTGACGTCATCTCCGCCCTCAGGCCACGCCCACCCCGGGATGGCGGGGTCTCCGACGATGCGCGGGGCGTTCACTATGTCGTCCGCGCCCGGCGCGCACCATCCTGCACACATGCCGCACGGCGCGGGACCACCCATGAGCGCGGAGCAGCATCGGTTACAATACGTGCAGGAGTTTCAGCGGATGTATGGGGCGGGTCCTTATATGGAGGGGTGTGTCTACTGACGTTGATTGACGTGTGTTACAATGCACTGATGGCAGCCAGTCGGTCTGTCTACCTTCAGAATCACAGGCGTGATGGCAGGAGATGCAGGGAGTTAATTTGGATGGCGCCATGAAGTCTGCAGGAAGGCTGTCACATGAGTCAAAGGTCGTGGCATAGTGTGATCTACACATGAGTCAAAGGTCGTGGCATAGTGTGATCTACACATGAGTCAAAGGTCGTGGCATAGTGTGATCTACACATGGGTCAAAGGTCGTGATATAGTGTGATCTATCTACACACGAGTCAGATGTCATGATATAGTGTGATCTACACATGAGTCAGACGTCATGGTTTAGTGTGATCTAAGTACACATGAGCCAGATGTCATGATATATATAGTGTGATCTACACATGAGTCAGACGTCATGGTTTAGTGTGATCTATCTATGGTTTAGTGTGGTCTAAGTACACATGAGTCAGACGTCATGATTTAGTGTGATCAATCTACACATGAGTCAGACGTCATGATATAGTGTGATCTACACATGCGTCAGACGTCATGATATAGTGTGATCTACACATGAGTCAAACGTCATGATATAGTGTGATCTACCCATGAGT